GGACCTTAGAAAAATACTAATATGGACCTTAGAAAAAATATTTTTTTTTTAATCCACGCCTTGTAGGACTTTAGAAAAAATATATTTTTTAATCCACGCCTTGTAGGTCCTTAGAAAAAAATATTTTTTTTAATCCACGCCTTGTAGGTCCTTAGAAAAAATATTTTTTTTAAATCCACGCCTTGTAGGACCTATGTGATATTTTTTTATAAATCCACGTCTTCTTGATTCTTGAAAAAATATTTTTTTAAATCCACGCTTGTAGGACCTCCGACATATTTTTTATAAATCCACGTCTTCTTGGATTTTTGAAAAGATATTTTTAATAAATCCACGCCTTGTTGTTGCTTTGAAAATTTCTTTCTATAAATCCATGCCTTGATGTTGCTTTGAAAAAAATTTTATTAAAAAAATCCTGAGTTAAAAATAGGTTTTCTTTAAATTTCGATTCAAAAAAAGTGTTTCCTTTCATCACTTCAATTCAAATGTCATAAAAGAGCAATTGATGACCTCCTTAGAGCCATCCTGCTTCTTCAAATACAACGACAGATAGGTTTGAAATTTCCCATTTGGCACATAATCCGGTATGCTGTCCTTGTCCACTTTCAAATTGCTAAAATAATAAGAACTCTACGAAAAAATATTTTAAAAAAAAATAAAAAAAAGTGTTTGTCTCCAAAAAATATCCTCCATCTTACCCTGAAAAAAGGACACTGACTCGATAGATTGCCATACTTCAAGAAATTCACAATCCACTTATTTAGCAATTGTATCTTGGGCGATTTCAGCCGCAAAAGGGTCTCACACAAATCAATGTCATAGGAAAACATTGCACGAAACTTATTGCCGGTCTTTTGCCATAGGCCCACCCCTACGGTGGCCCAAACATCCGTCAGATCTTGAACAATTTCCAAACCAATACTCATTGAGTCACGTTGTCGGCTGATATTGATTTGGAGATTTTTAATGAAATTTGCATTCAAATCGCTGCGGGTATCCAGGAAGGATACGGAGCGGGATTTCTAATAATAAACATATTTTTAGAGGACTTTTTTCTCCGTTGAAAGGACCTTACCTTTTTGGCCTGCAGAATTGGTAAAATTATTAGTAGTAAAACAATTATTTTATAATTCATTTTTACTTCTTCGAAAAATTTTCACGTTCTAAGAATAGGTGGCCTAAAATGCCCACATTTGTATTGAAATAGGTCATACTTATAGCCAATTATAAGGTAATTAGAATCGAATATCCATTACAAAAATAAGCCAAATCATGGCTCATTTTCTAGTGCAAAAAAAATCAGACAAACAATTACCATTACAAATAATTACAATGCATCGGTCATCTAACCAAGGTCAGCTGCGATTCGGTCATTAGCAAAATACTTTGAGAAAATAATTTTTTCCAAGCACCGACAAGGCAAAGATTAAAAAAATATATATTTTTTAAGACCAAAAAATATTTTTTATAAATCCTACAAGGCGTGGATTTATAAAAAATATTTCTTCAAAGAATCCAACAAAGCCGTTGACAAAATATTTTTTATAAATCTACGTCCTATTGTTGCTTTTAAAAATATTTATTTTAAAAACGCCCCACATTTGGCTACTTTGAAATATTGGATTCGAATTGATTGAAACATTTAAATGATTTTTCTAAATTAATATTCGCCCAAAACTAATCAGAATTTAAATTTAAATCATTAAAAATATTTAATTACATTTAATTGCTCTATTTTAAAAGCCTCGCCTATTTACCAATCAATGGAAAATATTCGCTTAGTTGATTTTCTTTGAACTATTCAACCAACTATACCGAAATGTGGTCTAGATCTGATAACTACTTTCATTTCGCATATACAATATTTGCCCTGGCAATTTGCCTATCAATCACAATAGTTGTTAGCCAACAAATTGTATTCACTTCCGGTAATGCGAAATTTCATCACGCATATTTTAAAGAATTTCGCCTGTTGGCCCACAATGGATCATTGGACATTTTGATGAATATCACACACGATTTGCCACAGGATCCATGGATCAATTTTGCTGTTTCAATGGGTGGGTCGAATAAAACGGCGGGCCATCGCAAGCTGTTACAGTACAATGTAAATATGTGTAAATTATTGGATCACAACGAACGAAGTTTGGTTTCGATATGGGTGCAGAATATCTTTAAACATGGTACAATACCCTCGAAGTGTCCCATCAAGAAGGTGAGTGTGAGTTTATGTGAAAGTAGTATTGGTAATAATTAAAATTTTCCCCTTCCATAGGGTAATTATACATGGTGTGGCATGCGTCCGGAAATGTTAAATATCCCAACATTCTTTGCCAAGGGTCAATATTTTGTCAATATGGACTTGTATTTTCGCCAGAAGAGGCCGAAAATATCTTTGGCAAATCTTACCGTAATTATTGAGAAAAAGTAAGAAAAAAAATATCAAAGCAATAAAAAAAGGAAATTGAAAGAAGGCTGCACCTTCTTCTTCACCTTCAACCTCTAAGGAGTTTTATTTTTAAACGTCGTATAACGTATTGTAATTCAATTTTTAACAGTCATCTGCTAGACGATCCTCACTGGAAGGCATCTTCTGTCTATCATCCTATAGAAAGCTCGAGACAAGGTTCTAACATTGAACTCCTTTCATCCAGGGATATATTTTAAAAGTTATTATCTTATGATGGGTGATGGTTCTAGAAAAAATATTCTTCTATTCTCTCTCTTATAGTCGGTTCTCCATCTGTCAGCCGATCTATGGAGTTTCCACTATCTGGTAATGTGTACAATGCTCTTTCTAGCAGCCGGCCTATAAAGTGATTATTCTATTATAGAAAGCTCCCTCTTTCTGGCGGTCTATAGAAGGCTCTTATTTTCAGTTGGTCAATAGGATACCCCAACTATGAATAGGCCCGTACAAGCTCCTTAAATGAGTCGGTTTACAGAAGTAGTCGGCCTATAGAAGACTGCGCTTACCAATCGCCTATAGAAGGTTAAGTCTAGCAGTCAGTAATGGAGTGTTCCTTCTGGCAGTTTGACTTTGAAAGGCTTAAAATATTAGTCGGAAGACCCCTTCAATAAGTAGGCCTATAGAGAACTCCTTCCATCTGTCAGTGAGTCAGTTTGATTATAGAAGGATCAGAATTTCAGTACAGCTATGAGAGACTCCTTTAATCAGTAGGCCTATATAAATCTCCTTCCATCCGTCAACCTATAGGAGGCCTTAATATGTATAATTCTATTAGTCGGAATATAGTAGGCCACCCTATTGAAGTATCATATTAGCAGTCAACATACATAAGGCTCCTTCTATATTTCCTCCTATAGGCCGACTTATAGAAAGGCCTATAGGAGGAAATATAGGAGAAGGGCTATAAAAGGCTGTCTCCGTCATAGACAGACTATAGAAGACACATATAAAAGGTCGGTTCGTTCAATCAGGCACCCTTTATTAATCGGTCAATAGAAGACCTTTCTTATAAATTTGCTTCTATTAATAGGCCTATATAAGGCTACTTCTTTGAGTCGTTGCATAGATGGAGTCCGCATATAGAAAAATCCGTTTATCAATCGTCAATAGAATATTGCGTCCAGCAGTGTTTTATGGAAGACACCTTCTGATAGTTTGATTATAGAGGGTTTAGTCTGACAGTCGACTAAAGAAGGCTCTTTCTTTTTGCCATTTTAGGGAAGGTTCCTTCTATCAGTCGTTCTATAGCAGGATCTTCAATCGGCTTAAAAAGGATAATTCTTTGGAAGTTTCATCTTCCAACCAACATTACATCAGTCGGGGTATAATTTTTTTTTCTATTATGTGACCTATAGAAATATCCTTCTTTGTTTCGGCCTGTAGAAGGTTTCGTCGATCATTCTGCCTATATAAGACACCTGCTATCTTTCTGTCAATAGACATTAATCAGTTCCTTCCTACAAAAAGTGTCTTTATTAGTCAGCGTCTAGAAGACTGCTTCTCTTAAGTTCCTTCTATCAATCGATCTATAGAAGCACGTTTCTATCAGTCTGACTATTGAAGATCATGCATATAAAGCGGCCTATAGTAGGTTTTTCTATTAAGTAGCCTACATGAGACTCATTTTCTTAGTCGATCCGCAACTGTGTCCATCTATCAGTCGGCCTTAAGAAGGCACATTCAGTTAGTCGACTCATAGGAGGCTCCATTTATCAGTGGCGCATAGAAGTTGTGTTGTATCAGTTGTATCTACAGAGGCTTCTTCTATGTCCTATCCTATGGGAGGCACCTTCTCTAAGTCGACCGATAACTATCCCCATATATACATGTCGGCCTATTGTCGTTTTGTAGAAGGCCCCTTAAGTCAGTCGTCTTAAAAAAGGCCTATATAAGGCAGTCGAACTTATTAGACGGCCTATAAAAAGGCTTCATCTATCAATCTGCTATAGAAACCCCCTTTCATTCTTCGACCTATGGAAGGCTCGTTTAAGGAAGGCTCAGAGGGCCTAAAAATTCGGTACCTTATATCTGTTGACTTATAGAAAATTATATTTTTATTGTATTTTATATTTTAATAAGTTGACCAGAGCAGAGCGTTATTCTTATCAGTGGGTCAAATTAAATTCTCGTTCTATCAATGGTTTCAAAAATATATCCCTTAGCACCTCCTAGGTAGCACCTCTTCTATCAGTCGGTCTATGTAGCTCCCTCCTCGATGAGTCGATATATGGAATGTTTCTTCTTATTGACGACCTATAGGAGGCTCCTTCTACCAGTTATCCTGCAGAAGTCTATAAAGTCCTGCAGAAGCCCTATAAAGGGCTCCTTATATCAGTCATATTTGAAATATTTCTTCTATAAGTCGGTTTATAGAAATCCTCATCAATAAATCTCCTAGGGGAATCTTAAAGGAAATAAACAATTTATTGCAGTTGTTTTAAAAATAAATAGTCCCGAAATCCCCTAATAATAATTCTATACCCCAGGTATAAAAAAATATACCCAAGAGCTCCTCCTCCTCCTCTAGTCCTCATTTAACTTCCATCACCGTCGTAATATTAGCCAGCGAATCTATTGTTTTCCTTTTCCTAAAATACAAACTGGTATGGGCAATATATTGACCCTTGGAGAAGAACAAAGGCATCTTCAACATATCCGGTCGTAGATTACACCATGAATAATTTCCCTATAAAAGCAAATATTTTTTTTTATTAAAATGTTTTATTATTAATAAAAATGTGCATCCTCTTCCCCCTTACCTTCTTAATCGGGCACTCTGAGGGCATATTACCCAGGCGAAAGTAATTCTGTAACCATGTCGAAATAAAATTAGTAGCCTGCTTACCTAGAATTTTACACACATTGATGTCGTAGTGCAGTAGGGTACGATTTTTGGCATTTTTCGATGGACGCATTACCACCAATACACTAACCCATGGATCGGAAGTGAAATCTTTGAGGGTTTTCACTACAATGTCCATGGAACCATTACGGGCTATTATACTCAATTCGGAAAAGAAATTGTGTTTATATTGTGCATCAGCTGACACATAGGAATAGGATTTCGAATTGGAGGAAACAGTGCGCAAGGAGGAGGATAAAAGTATGACAAATACGAATTTTAGAATGTCGATGGACATTTTTGTTGTGTCCGTTCGGAATATTGGAAGGTAAGTAATGAAGAATTGGGGAAAATTATTGTAATCTGCTTGGTTTTGAAATGCAAATTTAAATTGTATCTCTGATTTCAGGAAATTATCGGTCATTGATCTGCCAACATTTTTCAAATTATTCTGAATGGAAAATTTTCGAAATGAAACAAAAATATGGATAATTGAAAATAAATTAATCGAAGATAATGAGTATTTTATATGATGAAATGTGATTTTCATAGGTGACGGATAGAGAGAGAGCCTTCTATGATTGACTTCTAGAAAGAGTCTTCTGTAGCTTGATTGTAGCCTTCTATAGGCCAACCGAAAACAGGAGCCTTAGACTAATAGAAGAATCTTCTGATAGATGGGCCTTCTTTAGGCAACTGATAGAAAGAGCCTTCCGTTGGGAGATTGAAAGAAGGATCATTCTATTGGCGATTGATAAAAGCAGCCTCCCAATGGCGATTGATAGAAGCAATCTCCTATAGGCGACTGATAGAAGGAGCCGTCCGTTGGGAGATTCAAAGAAGGACCATTCTATAGGCGACTGATAGATACAGCCTCCCATTGGCGATTTAAAGAAGCAGGTTCTTATAGACGATTGATAGAAGGAGCCTGTCTATAGACAGATTGATAGTGGTGGCTTCTAAAGCCCGACTGCTAGAAGAACCCTATATAAGATGACTAATAAAAAGAGCCTTCTATATGTCGGCTGTTAGAAGGAGTCTTCCATAGGCCGAATGATATAAACATCCTTCTATAGGTGACTGAAAAACTGGTCTGGTCCTCTTATATACCGACTGATAAAAGGATAATAGATGGAGGACTGAAAAATGTAGGCTACTTCGACTGATACAAACAGACTCTATTTATCTAATTATCTTCCGGCCTTTAAAAGTTTTCGTCGATCATTTTGCCTACATCTTTCGGTAAGTAGACGTTATTTCCCATTAACCGGTTTCTTATATCAGTAGTCCTACAAAAAATTCCCTTATCAGTCGGCATCTAGAAGAGTGCCCCATTAGCTTCTTATAGAAAGGTTTCTCCAATTTTTGGTCTATAGAGGCACTTTTCAATCAGTCTGACTATAGAAGGTCCTTTCTATAAAAGGCTCCCTCTTTTAAGCGACCCACAACTGTGTCCATCTATCAGTCGGCCTAAAGAAGGCACATTCAGTTTGTCGACCTATAGGAGGCTCCATTTATCAGTCGCGCATAGAAGTTGTGTTGTATCAGTCGATCTACAGAGGCTTCTTCTATCCGCTATCCTATAGCAGACTCCTTCTCTAAGTCGACCATGTCTTCAGTCGGCTCACAGAAGGTCTATTCAGTCAGTCGCCATTTATAAGGACGGCCTATAGAAGGGCTTCTTCTATCGGGCTTCAGGAGGCCTATAGAAAATTACTTCCATCAGGAGGCTCCATACGTTCGGTTCCTTCTATCAGTTGTAAAATAGAAGATTCATTTATCGTTCGATCTATACGACCTTGAATACGTCGGAGCCTTAATAAGGCTAAATAATAGAAATAATTTTTCTTTAGGCCGTATGACTCAAGGATCCTTATAAGGTCGAATGGAAAAAAAACCTTTTATAAGCCGGTTGATAAAAGGAGCCCTCTGCAGTCCGTTAATAGAAGGAAGCTTCCATAGGAACGTGAGTCTACAGTGAACGAAAGATAATTATACCCTTCAGGAAGCTTCCATAGGAACGTGAGTCTACAGTGAACGAAAGATAATTATACCCTTCACCACACTGTGGTACAGGGTATTATGTCTTTGTGCATATGTTTGCAACAGGCAAAAGGAAACGAGATATACACATGGTTCCTTTTGAGAATATGCATAGAATCACTTTCTAAGTCGATTTATGCATGTCCGTCCGTCTGTCTGTCCATGTTAAATTGTAAACATAGTACAGGTCGCATTTTTGATTCGAATTGAATGGGATATGGCACAGCCCATTTATTCGGCCCAGGGACAAACCCCATTGAAATTGCGAAAAAATCGGTTCAGATTTAGATATAGCTCCCATATATATATTTTCGTCCGATTTTTAGTAAATGGTGCACCACAGCACCTATATTTCTTTTGATTTGCACGAAATTTGGTCCCGTGTTCCGAATTAAGTTTCGTGAAAATCGGTTTAGAGTTAAATATAGATCCATATATATTTTCGTCCGATCTAGAGATCTTTGCTTTGACATATCTCCCATATAAAAGTTTCGAACCATTTCTTCTTTCCCCTTTCTTTATTTATGCACACAATAAAAAAAAATATTTCAAAAATATTTTTTACTACTTCAGTACGCCCACCACCGTTAAATTATCCACCGATTGACGTTCCTTGCCCTTGCGAAAATACGTATCGATTTGCATTTTATATTCTGCTGAGGGAAAGACATCAGGAATGGAAACTTTCTCCGGTCGCAATTTATACCATGAATAGTTGCCCTAGCAAAAGAAATACGAATGAAAAAAAAATAAATAAATACAAATTATTAACAAAAATTTGCTCACCTTCTTAATCGGACAACTTTTCGGCAGATTTCCAAATTTCAAAAAATTTTGTATCCACACCGTTATCAGGTTATTATCAGCCCGTCCCAAAATACTGCAAACATTGACATCGTAATGTATCAGCTTACGGAAATTATCCGTTTTACGATCCTTAACCGAAAAGGCTGTCATCAGCCATGGATCCCAAGGATAATCTTGGGCAATATTCAAAAGAACATCAATCGAAGTATTTCGCAGATTTATGCGATGGTCCTGTATATAGGTGCTGTCGAATTCCACTTTATAGCTATAGAAATAGAAACTTTTGCCGGATCTCTAAATGAAAAAAATAATAAATTTATATAAAAAAATAAAAATTAAAAAAATTTACCCTTACCTTAGCTAGATGGCCCTTTAGGATGACAGTTACGATTATTATTAAATGACATAATAAAGTGGTTTTACAAATCATTTCTCCTTTTTTTGGTTTTAAAATTTTTATTTTGTTCTCAAAATGGGGGTTGGTTGTACATTGTTGAGTTTTTCGTTATCAACTAATGATTTTCACCTCGAGTTTATTTTCTATTTGGCCATTGAACCGTGACTAATTAGAATTTTTGGTTTTTTTTTTTTTTTTTTTGATTACGACTTTCCGATTTTTTCTATTTTTCTCGTTTTTTGAATTATTAGCAATGAAGTAATTTGGATATCAATCGTGTGCCAATATAATATACGCATATGTGGGTGTGTTGAGAAAAAATGTTAATATTTAATTATTATTTTGGGGGAACAGTGTTGTCAATATATCATAAAAGAAGAACAAGTGAAAAAGCGTTAAGTTCGGCCGGGCCGAACTTTGGATACCCTCCACCATAGATATACTGACAGGTACTTAAAATGAAAATATAGGGAAAATAAAAAAGTGAACATATATCGACATTTCCACATACCAGTTATGTAAAACACAATGTAAACTATAAAACAAATTTCAGAAATTTTTAATGGATAATGAGGGTGTATACACTTTTACACGGTTAAAATGGTTCTAGACCCCATGATTCTTTGGACCAAATTTGTTTCAGAAAATTTTGATTTCATCCAAACTTTGGCCATCTTATAATTTCTTCCAAACTTACTTCAAGTTTGAAGATGGGGAATATCGGTCCACTCCTTCTGGTACCTCCCACACAGGGGCTAGGTCTAAATACGGGTTATAGTTCATATATAGTTCATTATTGAACCTTACGTTCTAGTTTTTAATCTCGATATCCTCCGCAGGTGATATGATTACAACAGAGTCTTAGAACCACCCCAAAACGCGGAACAGATTGCATAACTATTTTAATATAAAAAAGGGGGTTATATAGGGACTACCCCAAAAAGGGGGTACATATTAATAATTTTTTGTAGGGAAATTTGTTACCATATACGACTACAAAATACCAAATTTCAGGGAATTCGGTTGAAAAACGTGCTCAAGAACTTCAAAATAGCGAAAATTTGGGGGTACCCTTATATGGGGGCTACCGGAAAAAGTGGACCTATATTTATAATTTTTAGTGGGGAAATTTGGTACCCTATAAAAACCCAATGTACCAAATTTCAGCGAATTTGGTTGAAAACCGCGCTCAAGATCCCTAAAATACCGAAAATTGGGGGGTACCCTATATGGGGGCTACCCGAAAAAATTGACCTATATTTATAATTTTTCGTATAGAGATTTGCTACCCAATAAGAACTCAAAGTACCGAATTTCAGCGAATTCGGTCGAAAAATGCGATCAAACCCCCCAAAATACCTCAAAATTGGGGGTACCCTTATATGGGGGCTATCCGAAAATATGGACCCATATTTATAATTTTCAGTGGAAAGATTTGCTACCCAATAAGAACTCAATATACCAAATTTGAGCGAATTCAGTTGAAAAACGCGCTCAAGAACCTCAAAATACCGAAAATTGGGGGGTACCCTTATATGGGAGCTATGCCTAAACGTGGACCGATGAAGCCCATCTTCGAACTTGACCTGCCTGCAGACAAAAGACGACTCTATGCAAAATTTTGGCGATCTATCTCAATTCGTTTAGACGCTAGAGTGATTACAACAGACAGACGGACAGACAGACAGACAGACGGACAGACGGACAGACGGACAGACGGACATGCTTAGATCGTCATAGAATTTTACGCTGATCAAGAATATATATACTTTATAGGGTCGGAAATGATTATTTCGATGCGTTACAAACGGAAAAACAAAACTAATATACCCTCCATACTATGGTGGAGGGTATAAAAATAAAAAGAAGAAAAATGAAACCAGTTAGGAATGTTCAAAAGTAAATCTGAACCGATTTTCACGAAAATTAAAACACATAATTCAAGGCTCAATTCAGTACGCTATGCAAAATTTCGTGCAAGTCGAAAGAAATATAGGGATTTTTGGTACACCATTTCCATAAAATCGAACAAAAATATATATGGCAGCAATATCTAAATCTAAACCGATTTTCTCCAAAACTTTGCACCCATTATTCTAGAATCCATTCAGTGCGCTATGCCAAATTTTGAACAAATCGACAGATATATTGGGTTTTTGGTGCACCATTTGCATTAAATCGGATGAAAATATATATGGGAGCTATATCTAAATCTGAACCGATTTTCACGAAACTTACCTCTCATTATTCTATACTCAATTCAGTACGATATACCAAATTTCGTGCAAATCGAAGGATAACAAGTGAAAAAGCGTTAAGTTCGGCCGGGCCGAACTTTGGATACCCTCCACCATAGATATACTGACAGGTACTAGAAATGGAAATAATGGGAACATACCAAAAAGTGGACCTATACCGACATTTCTAAAAAAGGATTATGTAAACCCTAATAAAGAATTCAGTAATTTTTAATGGATAATTATACACTGTGGCTAATTGAAATATCGATTCGATCGATTGGACCAAATGCGCTTCAAAAAATTTAGATTTCATCCAAACTTTGTCCATCTTATTATTTCTTCCAATCTTTGTTTAAATTCGAAGATGGGGAATATCGGTCCACTTTGTCTGGAACCTCCATACAGGGACTAGGTCTTAATGCGGGTTATAGTTCATTATCGAACCTTACGTTGTACTTTTTTATCTCGATATCCTCCGCAGGTGAAATGATTTCATCAGAGTCTTAGAACCAAACTCAAAACGCAGAACAAATCAGATAACCATTTTAAAATAAAAAAGGGGGTTATATGGGGACTACCCCAAAATGGGGGCGAATATTTATAATTTTTGGTAGGGAGATTTGGTACCATATACGACTACAAAATACCAATTTGCAACAAATTCGGTTGAAAAACGCGCTCAAGAACCCCAAAATACCGAAAACTGGGGGTACCCATATATGGGGGCTATCCGAAAAAAATGGACCAAAATACCGAAAATTGGGGGGTACTGTTATATGGGAGCTATGCCTAAACGTGGACCGATAAATCCCATCTTCGAACTTGACCTGCCTACAGACAAAAGACGACTCTATGCAAAATTTTTGGCGATCTATCTCCATTCGTTTAGACGCTAGAGTGATTACAACCGACAGACGGACATGACTATATCGTCATAGAATTTTACGCTGATCAAGAATATATATACTTTATAGGGTCGGAGATGAGTATTTCGATGAGTTACAAACGGAAAAACAAAATTAATATACCCTCTATACTATGGTGGAGGGTATAAAAAGGAACTTTGGTGCAATATTTACCTAAAATCGGACAAAAACATATATGCATACATTGGCTCAGATAGTGATTCTATGCATATTCTCAAAACGAACTATGGGTCTATCTCGTTTCCTTTTGGCTGTTACAAACATATGTATACCCTGTGGAACAGTGTGGTGAGGGGTATAAAAATGTCTCGAGTCCTTTATATAGCTATCTTCAAATGTTTCCCAGAATCCAGATTGGAAAATATCAGCCCTGTCGGTTTGAAAGTGCGGTTAAGACCTTTAACATACCAAAAATGGGTAGTGACCTTAATATGGGAGGCTGTGACAAAAAATTGACCTATAGCGTCATTTTTTGCGTAGATATAAAAGCTGCCTCCAAAACCCCGACAGGCCAATTTGCTGTTCTTTTGGTTGTATAAAACCTTTATATGGGGGAGCCATGTCAAAACATCGATCTCTACTCTTACAAAGTGGTATTCCAGCCTCCAAAACCCTTAATACTAAATTACAGTCCTTTTGGTTGGAAAATGTGTTAAAAATCCTAAAAATAACGAAAATTGGGCGCCATCCTTATATGGGAGACCTATCGAAACATTAACCTGAATTCATAATATTCTGCATAGATTTAAGTCAGCATCTAAAACCCCGAAATGCCCCATCACAGCCCTTTCGATTTTAAAAATCCATCGAGAATCCTCGAAATATCGAAGGTTGGTTGCCACCATTCTATGCGGGTTATGTCAAAATATACGCCTGTGTTGATCATTTTCTGAAAGCTTTATGACAGGCTACAGTTACTTCGATTGGAAAATCCAGCTAATATACTAAAAATAACGAAAATTGAGCTCCATTCTTAAATGGGGTCCCTGCCGGAACATGGACCTGAATTGATAATTTTCTCTGTATCAATATTGAAATTTATACCAGCCTTCAAGAAACCTTTTGTAACAAATTAAAGCCCCTATCGTTTGGAAAATGCGTCAAAACCCCTCGAAATAATGAAGGTTGGGCGCCATTCTTATATGGAGGCAATTTCCAAAAATTGACCGATATTGATTATTTTCTTTATATATGAATGTCAGCCTTCAAGAACTCCTTATAATTAATTACAGTCACATCGATAGGAAAAGGCGACTAAAACCTTCAAAATACCGAAAATCGGGCGGGACCTTTATATGAGGGCAATATCGTAAGCCGATATGGATAATATTTGGTACGAAGATTTGGTACCCCATGAGAACCTGAAAAATCTATTAAGAGCAAATTCTATTAAAAATTGTGCCCAAACCCCTCAAAATATGGAATATTGTGTGGTAGCGCTCTATGGGAACTATCCGGAAATTTAGGCGAATATTAATTTGTTTATTATTATTATTTTTTTTTTTGAAAGATAGATTTTTTACTCAATGAGAATACAAAATATAAAATTACAGGCACTTGGGTCGAATTTTGTACTCAAACTCCCGAAAATATCGAAATTTTCGGATTAAGCGTTGTATTGGGGGCTACCCAGAAACATGGACCAATACTGATAATTTTTCGTAAAAAAAATTTCTACCCAGAGAGAATCTGATATATCAAATTACAGCACATTTGCTTCAAACGCGCGCCCAAGCCCACCAATATACCGAACAATGGTTTCAAAAATTTAAATTTTTTTGGTAGGGAGATTTTCTATACATTGAAAATCCAAAATATAAAACTACAGCAAATTTGGTTGAACGACGTTCCCAAATTCCCCAACATA